ATACATAAACCACATCTTCTTTATCCATTCATCTTTCGATGGACACCGAGGCTCCTTCCACAGTTTGGCTATTGTGGACATTGTTGCTATAAATATCGGGGTGCAGGTGTCCCGGCGTTTCATTGCATCTGTATCTTTGGGGTAAATTCCCAACAGTGCAATTGCTGGGTCATAGGGCAGGTCTATTTTTAACTCTTTGAGGAACCTCCACACAGTTTTCCAGAGTGGCTGCACCAGTTCACATTCCCACCACAGTGTAAGAGGGTTCCCCTTTCTCCACATCCTCTCCAACATTTGTGGTTTCCTGCCTTGTTAATTATCCCCATTCTCACTGGTGTGAGGTGGTACCTCATTGTGGTTTTGATTTGTATTTCCCTGATAGCCACTGATGGGGAGCATTTTCTCATGTGGTTGTTGGCCATGTCTATGTCTTCCTCTGTGAGATTTCTGTTCATGTCTTTTGCCCATTTCATGATTCAATTGTTTGTTTCTTTGGTGTTGAGTTTAATAGGTTCTTTATAGATCTTGGAAACTAGCCCTTTATCTGATACATCATTTACATACTATCTCTTAACTCATCACTCCAGCCAGTGTGGAAAGAGAATTTCCCACTCTATATAATATTATCTCTAAATCATTTTCCCTCTTTCATCCTTTTAAAATAGTTACATCCCATTTTGTCTTTAAAATAGCAAGGTTGAGGGATCCCTTGGTGGCTCAGTAGTTTAGCACCTGCCTTCAGCCCAGGGCGTGGTCCTGGAGTCCTGGGATCAAGTCCCATGTCAGGCTCACTGCATGGAGCCTGCTTGTCTCTCTGCCTGTGCCTCTGCCAATATCTCTCTCTCTCTCTCTGTCTCTCATGAAAAAATAAATAAAATCATTAAATAAATAAATAAATAAATAAATAAATAAATAAAATAGCAAGGTTGAGAGCATTGCTCCATCTTGTAGTATTTATTGCTATGATACTACATAGATTGGGACCCGTGGGTGGCTCAGTGGTTGAGCAACTGCTTTTGGCTCAAGGCTTGATCCGTGAGTTTCAGGGTTGAGTCCCATATCAGGCCCCCTGCAAAGAGCCTGCTTCTCCCTCTGCCTATGTCTCTGCCTCCCTCCCTGTTTCTCTCATGAATCGATAAATAAAAATCTTTAAAAAAATAGATTTTTATAAAACTTGATGATATTTTAGTTACTATTTCTATATATAGGATGCTATCTCCCTGTTCTTTCTTCTCATCACTGCTACTATTATCTCTATCTAAATATTTTAGGACCATATGATTATAGGCAATATTCAGAACGTTTAGAAAATGTTTTCAAGAATACCTTTAGAATTGTTAAGAAAGTATCTTGCAATAAAATACTTGTCATTTATTTTTCTGTGTTCTGTGTATGGCATTTGAATATGGTTGATCATATATATGTTCTTTTGATAATATTAATTCCATTATTATTTTAATATATTTCTATGAATGGCAATAAGCATATTAATTCTTCAGCTATGCACACTTTACAAAATGATAATCTTTAATGTTGTAAAGATAAGTAATTTTACCTTTCTAGCTGTTTGATCAATGCAAGTTAAGTACTGTATATGTTGTAAAGTAGTGATTTAATTTCATTATCTGCATGTGGATATCCAGTTGCTGTTGTTTCCTTTCATCTCTGGTACATTTGGTTCTTTAAGACATCTTTAAAACATTCATTTAATCCATGGTGCACCTGGGTGGCTCAGTCAGTTAAGCATTTGACTCTTGGTTGCAGCCCAGGTCATGATCTTAGGGTCCTGAGATCTAGGTGCATGTTGAGTCCCACACAGTGTCCCCAGTCAGGAAGAAGTGTATTCCTTCTCTCTCATTCCTCAACCTGTCCCTCATTCCTATGCAGCATCTCTCTAAAAATTAAGTAATATATATTAATAAAAAACTTTTCCTTAACCTTTTTATCATATACATAATAAATAAATAAATAATAAATATATAAATGTATATATATATGAGTTTAGATAGATAAACAGATTTGCCAAAGAATCTCTTTCTAGCTGAGATGTCCTTTTATTTATTTTTTAATAATAAATTTATTTTTTATTGGTGTTCAATTTGCCAACATACAGAATAACACCCAGGGCTCATCCCGTCAAGTCCTTTTATTTATTTAATGATGTTGATAATGTAAATTAATAACATTTTTCATGTTTCTTTAAACATATGAATCCTATTAAATATTTCTGCATTTTCATATAATATAATGAACTATAGTTCATTTTATATTCCTGTGTGAGTGTGACAATATGTCTTTCTGTGTGTGCACATATGTATGAATAATCCTGTCTCATGTGGATAATTACTAAAAACTTGGCATCATTTGGATCTAGGAAATATTTAAGTCTGAAATACATACTGTATAGAGCTTGTTCACTTATGATGTCAGTGGAGAATTCCTCCTCCGACCTCAATGAGAGTCTTGGATATTATTTCCTTTTATTCACACTTAAGTGACTTATTATTCCTTTATCTAAATTCACTTATTCAAAGAGTCATGAAAGGGATTCCTGGGTGGCTCAGCAGTTTTAGCACCTGCCTTCAGCCCAGGGCATGATCCTGGAGTCCCAGGATCGAGTCCCACATCAAGCTTCTGCATGGAGACTGATTCTCCCTCTGCCTGTGTCTCTGCCTCTCAATCTCTCTCTCTCTCTCTCTCTCTCTGTCTCTGTCTCTCATGAATAAATAAATAAAATCTTAAAAAACAAAGGGTCATGAAATATTTGATCTCTCACTATGCCCTTTGACACTTGTTCTATTTTGACTTATATATTTTATCACCATAATATTTGTTTATTAAGAGGGAGAAATAACAAATATATGTGATGAAATACATACACTGATATAGAATTCGAAAGTTTTAAGTATTTTTTTACTCATATGTGGAATTTAACAAATAAAACGAATGATCATAAGGCCAGAAAAGAAACTGTGAGGTGTAAACCAAGACACAGACTACTAACTGTGGAGAACAAAGGGATGACTACCAGAGGGGAGCTGAGTTGGGAGAATGGGTGAAATAGGTGATGAGGATAAAGGAGTACACCTGCTGTGATGAGCACCAGGTGTTGTATGTAGCTATTGAATCACTATATTGTACACCTGAAACTAATATTACACTGTATGTTAACTAACTGGAATTTAAATAAAAACTTTTAAAAAAGAAAATAAAAAATGAGTAAGACAAAGTTCTATAGAGTACTGTATGCCATGTAAATGTTAGAGAGGCAGAGAGACATAAAAACATATGGTATTTGGAGGAACTCTGGCAGATTTGTGAAACGTACCAAGAGTGTGGGGTATAGATATTTAGTTGAAGGGTCTACTTGAACTGTATCATTTAGAAACTGGTGGAGGATGGCCAGCCCAGGTGACTCAGTGGTTTAGCAGTACATTCAGCCCAGGGCGTGAAACTGGAGACCCAGGATCGAGTCCCACGTCAGGCTCCATGCATGGAGTCTGCTTCTCTCTCTGCCTCTCTCTCTCTGTCTCTCATGAATAAATAAATAAAAATCTTTTTTAAAAAAAAGAAACTGGTTGAGGAGACAGAAGAGAATGACTTTGCATAAATAGTATGTGACAGTAAAGATTCATTCAAGATTTCAGAACAAATGATTCAGCAGTAATGTTACCTGACTGAAAGAATGTTTGGTTTGATGCTACTGTGTAAAGAAAACTCTAGAAGGAAATATTGCTCCTCAACAGACACTGATAGGCTGCTCTGCTTTAGAAGTACGTCTTAGATATCAAATAAAGCATTTATTCTTAAAATAACTAAATACTCTGTGTATTTACGTTGCTTTTTCTATGCATATATTTTGAATGAACGTCTGATTTCAGCAATACTTGTGTTTGTGTATGGCAGTAAAACATATATATCCTAATTAATTATTAAAAAATATATATGGCATTTTGGGGCACCTGAGTGGCTCAGTGGCTGAACATGTGCCTTTGGCTTAGGTCATAACCCTGGGTTTCTAGGACTGATTCCCACATCAGGATCCCCACATGGAGTCCGCTGCTCCCATGCTTATGTCTACCTCTCTCTCTCTGTGTATCATGAATAAATATATATATATATATATATATAAAGATATATATGTATATATATAAATGTATATATGTGTGTATATATATGTACATATGTATATATATATTTATATATATAGTTTATATTTTGGTTTTCCATGTTTACACACACACACACACACACACGGCATTTTTAGTGACTTTAAAGATTTCCTGGAAAAGACATAGGCTAATAATACTTGCATCTGCAAATTTTATTTTTCACAGTAAATAACAGCTATATTAGATGTTGAAATAAAAATTACTTTTTGTTTATATCTGGAATTGAGATGTCCAATTTCAACTGTTTCTACAGCGAACTAACAGGAAAAAAAATCACCTAAAAACATGGATCTTTTTTAAGGCGAGCTATACATGAATTTCACATTGGCATTTTCTTCAGTTTTCACCTCAGCTATCAGTACTTAATAGTTTTAAAAATCAAACATAAGGGATCCCTGGGTGTCGCAGCGGTTTGGCGCCTGCCTTTGGCCCAGGGCACGATCCTGGAGACCCGGGATCGAGTCCCACGTTGGGCTCCCGGTGCATGGAGCCAGCTTCTCCCTCTGCCTATGTCTCTGCCTCTCTCCCTCTCTCTGTGACTATCATAAAAAAAAAGATTTTATAAAAAAATCAAACATAATTGGCTAATAATGAAAAACTGCACACTTCATGCTATGACCATTTGATAACTGGTCATATGAAAATTTTAAACTCTAGGTAACTAAATAAGTTTGTTTCAGTTTTCCAAAGTAGAAAAGTTCAATTATGTACTTAACGGCTGTATGATTAAATGATACAGTATGACCAAAGTGACTTATTTAAAATACTTTCTTTTTAATATTTGATTTACTTTTCTGTCTGCTTTCAGGAAAATTATATCAATGTCCCATGGAAAACTATACTCAAACATCAACTGATTTCACCCTACTGGGCTTGTTCCCACCAACAAGAATTGGCCTGTTCCTCTTTATTATCATTGTTCTTGTTTTCCTAATGGCTCTGTTTGGCAACCTGTCCATGATTCTTCTCATCTTCCTAGACCCTCATCTCCACACACCCATGTATTTCTTACTCAGTCAGCTCTCTCTCATTGACCTAAGCTACATCTCCACGATCGTCCCCAAAATGACCTACAATTTTGTGTGTGGAAACAAGTCTATCTCCTTCATTGGGTGTGGGGTTCAGAGCTACTTTTTCTTGACTTTAGCAGGTGCAGAAGCATTGCTCCTGATATCTATGGCCTATGATCGTTATGTGGCTATTTGCTTTCCTCTTCACTATCCCATTCGTATGAGCAAAAAAGTATGCGTGCTGATGATAACAGGATCTTGGATAATGGGCTCAGTCAATGCTTGTGCCCACACCGTATACGCCTTCCATATACCTTACTGTCGATCCAGGAACATCAACCATTTCTTCTGTGATGTCCCAGCCATGTTGACTTTAGCCTGCATGGACACCTGGGTCTATGAGTACACAGTGTTTGTGAGCACTGTCCTCTTCCTTGCATTTCCATTCATTGGCATTGTATGTTCCTATGGCCGGGTCCTCTTAGCTATCTGCCACATGCAGTCCACAGAAGGGAGGAAGAAGGCCTATTCCACCTGCAGCACCCACCTCACTGTGGTGACTTTATACTATGCACCCTTTGTTTACACATATTTATGCCCGAGATCCTTTCGATCTCCAACAGAGAACAAGGTCCTAGCTGTTTTCTACACTATCCTGACCCCAGTGCTCAACCCCATAATCTACTGCCTGAGAAACAAGGAGGTGATGGGAGCCCTGAGACGATTGATTCAGAGAATCTCCTTTGTTGAAATGTAGACAAAGCTTTTTACATATGTGTGCAACATTGATTATAAGCCCATTCATTAGTGTACATTAATTAAAATATTATTTTTAAGACTTTATTTATTCATGAGAGACACAGAAGGAGAGAGGGGCAGAGACACAGGCAGAGGGAGAAGCGGGCTTCATGCAGGGAGCCAGATGTGGAACTCTATCCTGGGTCCTCAGGATCACACCCTGGGCTGAAGGTCATGCTAAACTGCTGAGCCACCAGGGTTGCCCATAAAATATTATTTTATGCTTACAGTGCTAGGACTAAATTTAGAAGAGAAGATTATAACTAATGTTGGACAGAATTATCTTATATTACCTGCAAGATAATATGTATATTAATATTTATTATCATCACTGTGAAACTTACCTTTTCTTTCGTGTTACCCTTTCTCATGAATTTCCATTGCAATAATTGTTTGCTAACATGTTTTCAATGAAAATGAAAATGGTTCTTTTTCATTTAAAAATAAAAATGTAAATTGTTAATTGAAGTTCTTCAACATAAGAGTTCAGGTATTTTCAATTTATTTTCCAATACATTTAAATGGAAAAATATTTGTTCCTGAATTCTTAGATCTAATTGAAAGTCAGAAAACTTCTCATATCTTGTGACTAATCTGTGCTAGTTTCTTTTTTTTCAACTTGTGGCAACTTATCTTTAGAAAGATGTATCTGAGACTTAGAGATTCTAAAATCCTTATACCATTCTGAATAAAATATACTAAGTTTATGCTCCTCTTATGCGAGTGAATCCTAGAAAAGTGATTTCATATCATGTATTCTGAAAGATCAAGTATAAGGACTTGAATGTGTCAATAAATATCAAGAATTGTGAGGTCAATAATAAGCTGAGTGTATTGAAAGTTCAGTAGGGTTAGTAGTTTCAAGGAAATTCACCTATGGGATGCTCTCACCATTTGCTCAATAGCCACTGCTGTCCTTACACAAAATCATGTCTATCATGTGATATTTTATTTCCCACTCATTATGTTTCATAGTTTTCCTGAAACAGGTTAGTGGGAGGTCAACTTACATATACCAATTTTAGTCCTTGATAAATTATTTTTCAACACAAGAACTACTATCACATCTAATAAACCCTCAGCTCAGGTGAACTTCCAACTCAAGTAGATTTTTACTACTGCTCATCACTGGTAACTGAAGAAATGATCTTTATTTTCCCTGATTTGGCAGCAAAGGTAGTGGCCATATCCTATGCTCTTTACAGGGCACAACACAGATGAAAATATGAGTTCTCATTTGCAAAAAAAAAAAAAAACAAAAAAACTTTTTCTTCAAAATTAATTTACTACGTATGAAATGCAATCCAATACCCAGGGCAATTTACACGTTTAATGCAATCCCTATCAAAATACCATGGACTTGGACGCCCGCCTGCGCCGAGGGCCGAGTGGAGGGCGTGGGGCGGCCGCTCGGCTCCCCCGCTCCCACCTGGTGCTCAGGCCCAGCCACTGCCGCCGCCGTGCACCCCTCCTGGAGGAGGAGGAGGAGGAGGAGGAGGAGGAGGAGGAGGAGGAGGAGGAGGAGGAGGAGGAGGAGGGAGGAGGAGTTGCGGGAGAGGAGGGGCGAGCGGGGCAGGCGAGCGGGGCACTCGCGCGGTGCTGGGCGAGGAAGCAGAGCAGGCCGCGCCAGGCATCACACTTGGAGACTATGTTTGGGGAGCTGTGGTTATCCCATTGTCCTTGGGAGAAGACAGTTTAATAGAGAAGAAAGAAAGAAGAAAAGACGGCATATCTCTGAAGGCCCGGGAGACAAACCGTTATCTGAGCATCAGTAAACCTGAAGACGTCACTATGCCATCCTGATGGCTCCAAAGGGTCTATGAAGCTGGAAGAGTACCTAGATGCAGCATTGCAGCCCCTCCAGATGTGTGAGGAGAGTCTTCTGGAGAGAAGGTGATCCTCTTGCAGAAGGTAACTAGTCATAATGAAGAAAATCAGTCTTAAAACCTTCCGAAAATTTTTCAACTTGAATAAAAGTAAAGAAGAAACGGATTTCATGGTCATACAGCAACCATCGCTAGGCAGTGATTTGGGAAAAGATGATTCCTGGTTTGGTAGCTGCTACGGGGAAGATAAGGCCAGCTGTGATATCACTAATGAAGACGAGAAAGGTGGGAAGGGCAGATCGAAAAGCGAAAGCCTAACGGGTACCTTAAAACGACGGCTGTCTGCGAAACAGAAGCCGAAAGGCAAGGGCAGCACACCGTCCGGGAGCTCTGCCCCAGGACACCTTCCCCTCCTCCGCGGCACCCCTGGTCTGCAAGGACGAGCGAGCGCAGAGGCACATCAGCTCCACGTCGCTCCGCAGCCATCACTACAGTCCCACGCCCTGGCCTCTGCGGCCCACAAACGCTGAGGAGACGTGCATCAAAACGGAGGTGCGAGTCAAAGCCGTGGTTCACTCTTCCAGTCCGAGCCCAGCCCGGAATGGGGTCCGGAAGGATTTTCACGACCTTCAGGCTGACACCGTGTGCCAGGAACACAGCAACTCCCTGAAGAATTCGGAATCTCAGAATGGAGACTTGCATCTTCACCTTGACGAACATGTGCCTGTAGTTATCGGACCTACGGCTCAGGACTACATCCAGTACACCGTGCCTTTACGTGAGGGCATGTACCCTTTGGAAGGACCGCGTACTATGGTCTGGACGGTTCTTCTCCCACGGAAGTGTTTGTGGTCCCTCCGAGGGGGAGGGAGCTCCTTCGCCGAAGACGAGAATCAGGTAGAGCAGGTCCCCGTGGTGGCCCCGGACATCTTTGTGGATCAGGCGGTGAACGGCTTGATGATTGGCACCACAGGGGTCACGTTGGAGAGCCCCAGAGCAAGTCATAACGACGCCCCCCACTCTCACCGTTGCTACCTCCAATGCAGACCAGTCAAATCCAAAGGACCTCAGTGGGCTCACCCGCACAGATGCCCACATGGCTGAAAGTATGCTCTGTCATTTGAATTTTGACCCTAAATCTGCCCCTGGGTTGGCTAGAGTGTATGACTCCATGCAGAGCAGTGGTCCCATGGTCGTGACAAGCCTTACAGAGGAGCTGAAAAAACTCGTGAAACAAGGATGGTACTGGGGACCCATCAGACGCTGGGAGGTAGAAGGGAAACTAGCAAACGTGCTGGATGGCTCTTTTCTTATTCCGGAGAGTACCGACGACCCTTACCTTTTAAGCGTGAGCTTTCGCTCCCATGGGAAAACACTTCACACGAGAATTGAACACTCAAATGCTAGGTTTAGTTTTTATGAACAATCAGATGTGAAAACGCGTATGTCTATAGTTGATCTTTTTTTTAAATAATAAATTTACTTTTTATTGGTGTTCAATTTGCCAACATACAGAATAACACCCATTGCTCATCCCATCAAGTGCCCCCCTCAGTGCTCGTCACACATTCACCCCCATCCCCGCCCTCCTCCCCTTCCACCACCCCTAGTTCGTTTCCCAGAGTTACGAGTCTTTATGTTCTGTCTCCCTTTCTGATATTTCCCACACACTTCTTCTCCCTTCCCTTATATTCCATTTCACTATTATTTATATTCCCCAAATGAAAGAGAACATAGGTTTGTCCATCTCTGATTGACTTACTTCACTCAGCATAATACCCTCCAGTTCCATCCACGTCGAAGCAAATGGTGGGTATTTGTCATTTCTACTGGTTGAGTAATATTCTATTGTATACATAAACCACATCTTCTTTATCCATTCATCTTTTGAAGGACACCGAGGCTACTTCCACAGTTTGGCTATTTCGGACAATTGCACCCAAAAGCATAAGATACCAAGGAATAAACCCAACCAAAGATGTAAAGGATCTATACCCTAAAAACTATAGAACACATCTGAAAGAAATTGAGGAAAACACAAAGAGATGGAAAAATATTCCATGCTCATGGATTGGAAGAATTAATATTGTGAAAATGTCAATGTGACCCAGGAAAATTTACACGTTTAATGCAATCCCTATCAAAATAGCATGGACTTCCTTCAGAGAGTTAGAACAAATTATTTTTAAATAAATTTATTTTTTATCAGTATTCAATTTACCAACATACAGAATAACACCCAGTGCTCATCCCGTCAGGTGCCCCCCTCCGTGTCCATCACACATTCGCCCCCACCCCCCGCCTTCCTCCCCTTCCACCACCTCTACTTCATTTCCAGAGTTAGGAGTCTTTCATGTTCTGTCTCACTTTCTGATATTTCCCACTCATTTTTCTCCTTTCCCCTTTATTCCCTTTCACTACATTTTATACTCCCCAAATGAATGAGAACATACACTGTTTGTCTTTCTCCAATTGACTTACTTCACTCAGCATAACCCTCCAGTTCCATCCACGTTGAAGCAAATGGTGGGTATTTGTCGTTTCCAATAGCTGAGGAATATTCCATTATATACATAAACCACATCTTCTTTATCCATTCATCTTTCGATGGACACCGAGGCTCCGTCCACAGTTTGGCTATTGTGACATTGCTGCTAGAAACATCGGGGTGCAGGTGTCCCGGCGTTTCATTGCATCTGAATCCTTGGGGTAAATCCCCAACAGTGCAATTGCTGGGTAGTAGGGCAAGTCTATTTTTAACTCTCTGAAGAACCTCCACACAGTTTTCCAGAGTGGCTGCACCAGTTCACATTCCCACCAACAGTTTAAGAGGGTTCCCTTTTCTACACATCGTCTCCAACATTTGTGGTTTCCTGCCTTGTTAATTTTTCCCATTCTCACTGGTGTGAGGTGCTATCTTATTGTGGTTTTGATTTGTATTTCCCTGATGGCAAGTGATGAAGAGCATTTTCTCATGTGCCTGTTGGCCATGTCTGTCTTCCTCAGTGAGATTTCTGTTCATGTTTTTGCCCATTTCATGATTCAATTGTTTGTTTCTTTGGTGTTGAGTTTAATAAGTTCTTTATAGATCTTGGAAACTAGCCCTTTATCTGATACGTCATTTGCAAATATC